TTTTCCATGTGCTTAAAAAAATGTTTTGGTATCTGGATCGGGATTGCATTGAATGTGTAGATTGCTTTAGGTAGTATTGACATTTTCACAATATTCAGTCTACCTATCCATGAACAAGGCAGGTTCTTCCATTTATGTAGAGCCCTTGTTGTCTCTTGTAGTAGTGTTTTATATTTTTCTTTGTATAGGTCTTTTGTGTCTCTGGTCAGGTTTTTTCCTAGATATTTTATCTTTTTAGTAGCTATTATAAATGGTATTGTTTCCCTTATTTCTTTATCAGAGGTCCCTTTGTTGGTATAGAGGAATCCATATGATTTTTGTATGTTGCTCTTGTATCCTGTCACTTTGCTGAACCTCTCTATTAGTTCCAGTAGGGTTTTTTTTTTTTGTCAAGTCTCTTGGGTTTTCTTTGTACAGGATCATATCATCTGCATACAGACATACTTTTACTTCCTCTTTGCCAATTTGTATGTCTTTTTATTTCTCTTTCTTGCCTTATTGCCCTGGCCAGGACTTCCAATACAATGTTAAATAGAAGTGGTGATAGAGGGCATCCCTGTCTGGTTCCCACTAGTAAGTGGAATGCCTTGAGTCTTTCTCCATTAATAGTGGTGTTGGCCGTTAGCTTTAAATATTATGCCTTTTATTATGTTGAGGAATTTCCCTTCTATCCCTATTTTGCTGAGAGTTCTGAACAGGAATGGGTGTTGGATTTTATCAAATGCCTTTTCTGCGTCGATTGATATAATTGTATGGTTCTTTTATTTTGTTTTGTTCATGTGGTGGATTACATTGATTGTTTTTCTGATGTTGAGCCATCCTTGCATACCTGGTATGAATCCCACTTGGTCAGGATTTATTATTTTTTTAATATGTTGTTGGATTCTGTTGGCTAGGATTTTGTTGAAGATTTTTGCATCTATGTTCATAAGGGATATTGGTTTGTAGTTTTCCTTTTTAGTAGTGTCTTTCCCCTGTTTTGGTATTAATGTTATGCTTGCTTCATAATATGAGTTTGGGAGTATTCCATCTTTTTCTACATTCTGGAATAGCTTGAGCAGTATAGGTGCCAACTTTTTCCTGAATATTTGGTAAAAATCTCCAGTGAAGCCATCAGGGCCAGGACTTTTCTTTGTGGGAAGTTTTTTTATGACCTGCTCAATTTCTTCTTTTGTTATAGGTCTGTTCAAGTATTCTTTCTCTGAGTGGGATAGTTTACCTAGGTCTTGTGATTCTAGAAACTTGTCTATCTCTTCTAGGTTCTCAAATCTGTTGGCATACAAGTTTTCATAATATTCTGTCAATATCTTTTTTATTTCAGTTAGTTCTGTTGTGATGACATCTTTTTGTTTACTATTTTTGTGATTTGCATGTTCTCTTTCTTTTCTTTGTTAGATTTGCCAATGGTTTGTCAAATTTATTAATCTTTTCAAAGAACCAGCTTTTTGCTTTGTTTATTTCCTCTATTGGTTGTTTTGTTTTGTCTTATTTTCTGTTTCATTTATTTCTGCTCTGATCTTTATTATTTCCTTACTTCTAGATACTGTAGGATCTTTTGTTGTTCTTTTTATAGTTGTTGGAGTTGTTGAGTTAGAGTGTTGATTTTGTTTCTTTCCTCTTTTTTGATATATGCATTTCCTGCTATAAACTGACCTCTGAGTAATGCTTTTCCTGTATCTCATAGGTTTTGATATGATGTATCTTCATTCTCATTTGTTTCTAGGAATTTTTTATTTCACTTTTTATTTCTTCTATTACCCAGTAGTTTTGGGCAGTGAATTGTTTAATTTCTACACATTTGGTTTTTTCCTTCATCTTCCTATTAATCATTTCTAATTTTATAGTATTGTGGTCTAAGAAGATGCTTTGTAGTATTTCAGTGTTTTTGAATTTATTGAGGCTTGTTTTATGTCCTGACATATGGTCTATTCTGGAGAAGGATCCATGTGCACTAGAGAAGAATGTGAATTGTGCTTTTGTTGGGTGAAATGTTCTGTATATGCCTATGAGGTCAAGTTGGTTGATTGTGTTGTTGAATTCTTCTGTATCTTTGTTGAGTTTTTTCCTAGTTGATCTGTCCCTCTTTGAAAGTGGTGTGTTAAAGTCTCCTACTACTATTGTAGAGTTGTCTATTTTCCCTTTCAATTCAAATAATATTTGCTTCACGAATTTTGGAGGACATTCATTGGGTGCATAAATGCTTATTATTGCAATGTCTTCTTGGTCAGTTGACCCTTTCACCATCATATAGTGTCCTCCTTTATCTCTTATGTTGTTTTTCAACTTAAAGTCTATTTTATCAGAAATCGATATTGTTACTCCTGCTCTTTTTTGGTTACCATTGGCTTGGTATATTTTTTTCCACCCTTTAACTCTTAATTTGTTTTTATTTTTGTGTCTAAGGTGGGTCTCTTGTAGGCAGCATATCAAAGGATCTTCTTTTCTTATCCAGTCTGCCACTCTCTTTCTCTTGATTGGTGCATTTAGTCCATTCATAGTGAGTGTAATTAGTGATAGGTATGAATTGATTGCTGTCATTCTATTGTGTTTTTTTGTAATGTTGTTGGAGTTTCCTTGGTCCATATACTTTTCTGTGCTGAGTTTGTTTTGTTGTGAAGCATTTCCTCTAATTTCTTCATTATTGTTGGTTTTGTGCTCTTTAAACCCATATGTTTTCCTTCCTTCTGGATTTGCTTGGGGAGATTGTTAATATTCCCTGTGGTTATCTTGGAGTGAATTCTTGTCTCTATATTTTTAGAACAGTCTGTTCTATGAGGACATTGTCCTGTTTTCCTCTCCATTTGGAAGTTTGTACCTAGAACTTTTACTCACTCTATTTGGTTAGTTGCTGTTGTCACGTGCATATTGGCTTCCTTGATTTTTAGTATATAATGTTTTATGGTCTTATTTGCAGTGTCTATTTCTGATTTGGTTTTAGTGTTGATGTCATGTGTCTAGATTTTGTTGTTCCCTGTTGTGGGTTCTCTACTGGAATGACTTTCTTAAGCATTTCTTGTAGGGTTGTTCTGATTTTCACAAAATCCCTTAATTTCTGTTTGTCTGAGAATGTCTTGATTTTGCCCTCATATTTGATGGACAGTTTGGCTGGATATAGGAGTCTTGATTGGAAGTTCTTTTCCTTCAGTGTTTTATATATGCTATCCTATTGCCTTCTTGCTTGCATGGTTTCTGCTGAGTAATTGGAGCTCAGCCTAACTGTCTGATTATTATAAGTAATATTTCTTTTGTCCCTGGCAGCTCACAAAATTCTTTGTCTTTGGTTTTGGAGAGTTTGATTATGATATGCCTTGGTGTTTTTCTCTTGGGATCTGTCCTGTATAGCATTCTATGAGCTTCTTGGACAAATATCTTTTCTTCCTTTTTTATTTGGGGGAAGTTTTCTGTGAGTAGGTCTTCCAGAATTTTCTGGGTTTCTTTTTTTTTTTTTTTTTCCCCCCTCTTCTTATTCTGGAATTCCAGTGAAGCATATGTTATTTCTTTCCATGTCATCCCATATAACTCTTAGGTTCTCTTAATTTCTCTTAAATCTTTGTTCTGATTTTTCTTCATACAGGCTGGTGTCCATGGATTTATTTGTCTTCTAGTTGGGAAATGTGTTCTTCAGCCAGTTCTGTCCTGTTCTTTTGTGCTGCCACTGTATTGTGCAATTCTATAATTTTGATTTTCATCTTCTGGATTTCTAACTGCTGTTTTTGTATGAGTTCTGATTGTGCATTAATCTTGGTATTTTGTTCTTGAATGGTTTTCCTGAGTTCTTCCAGGGTACTATCTGTGTTCTCCTTGCTTCTGTTTGGGGTTTCCTTAAGCTCTTGTGGAGTTCTGCAAACATACCTTCTAAATTCCTTCTTGGATAATTCTATTGCCTCCTCTTTCTCCATGTTTAATGAGACTTTTGTTTGAAATTTTACTTCTAATGTCTTATCCTGTTTTTTTGCTTAATTTGAGATCTGTTGTTTCCTAGACATTTTGAAGTTGTCTTTAGCTGTTAATTATGTACTGATTTGTTTTATCTTGGTTTTATGATTTAATATTTTGAAAAGGTGGAGCTGGTGTATTTTATTTCTTTGGCTATTAATTCAAGTGTGCTGAGTTGTTCTGCATTTTTCTTTGTGATGGAATCACTGTGTGGAATGTGGATGCAGGTCTCTTTTTGTTGTAAAGGGAGT